ATTAGCCAAGTAGACATTTCCAAATGGCTTCAATAAAGCAAAATTATGTTTTACTTTAATGGTACAAAATACTTTCCACTTTAAATGATTTGTGATACTGCACTTTTCAATATTCTAGTATCAGTCATGTACAGACCTGAGAGGTTACATTAGCATCCCTAGAGGAAAAGAAGCCAAATGCTTGTCAGCAAATGCTTCAGTGTCTTAAGATTTCCTGACTTTTAACTGCTTTTGAATGATGATGGCATTTGGTAATGTAGTTCTTAATGAATGATAGCATAATGAGTGTAATTAGAATACATCTTTCTTTTTTAAACACTCTGGTTTTGCTGAGATTAAAAATACCATCAAGCAATCATACTTCTTGAATGCAAAATTAAATTCACTCTGTTCCTTATCAACCTGATAGTAAGTCAGGAGGTTTCCAGAAGGCAGGCTGGGTCCATGTTTCCAGCATGAAGTTGAGAATTACTTCAGTTGTTGTAGGTGCCTTTGGTTGATTATGCCTTTCAATATACATATATTGTGTCAGCAAGTCTTTTTATTGCTTGTCCGTGACAAGCAAAGAATTTCACTGACATTTGTGAAGGTATGATTTGAAAACTAGTTATTTTAACTAGTGTACTTTCATCTGGAAAATTGCAAAAGCATCATCTTCACTTAAAAGATGCAGCCAACAATACAAGAAAGGTTACTTCCTATTTTCTTGCAACCATGCAAAACACAAAATTACAAACCCTACTAGGAGCGGTTGTCATGTTCTGACTATAGAAAGACTGAGGGTAATTCATCACAGTCACTTGAAAAGTCCCTTGTCCTTGAAGGCATTTACTTCTCTGTGAAAATTACTTCAAAGAATAAGAATGTAATCACCTCATGCTTTTGCAGTGTGGTATTTATTGCTGTCATGTTGAAGTTGTGCTGTTGGCTTTTTATGACATGGACACAGGCCTAAAGTAACACATGAATACATATTCTGCAGCCCACTACTGTATACATGTTTAGTTACCCTGAGCTACAACTGGCTGGGTGCTTCCAATATGAATTTTTAAAGTGCCTCTTGTTCTCTGTTATGGTCCTGGAATCTTTCATGACAACATGTTGATACTAATATTTGATGCTCATGTTTATTCCATTGTGTTGCAAAGTGGTCATAGATCTCAGTCACTTAGGTCTGGTGATATAGCGGGTTCTGTGGATTTGAGATGCCAGGAGCTCTTACAGGAATCCAAATGTAATGTGTGACTTCGTCTGAGCCAACATACTGGCTGAAAGCTGAACTCTGATTTCTTGAGTGCAAAGAGGAGTGGCAGAGTCCCACATCTGTCTTGGCTATGCAGCCAGTATATTCCACATAGGAAGCTCTTACTCAGAATATTCTGTTTATTTAAAAGATGAGTGATGAAAAGCTAAAAACTAAGATGTGATATGTCACTGCTTTTTCTTGCATATATTGCTGATGTCTAGAAATGAGTCTGATGATTTCTGTATGGACACATAGCTCTGAATCAGCACACCTGTTTTGTTTTCAGTATGCCCACCCTGATTTATTGACTGAGAGAAAACAGTCTGCAATAATTTTGTTGTATATGTAATGGGCATTTTTTACAGTTGTAGGTAGAGGGGTGGCTGAAGTGTATCAAATTCAATGAAAAGGTTCCCATTGACTCCAGGGGACTTTGAATTGTACCCTGACCCAGCAAGAACTTTGTTGTAGGCTTTAGCTCACGATTTCAGGTTCACTGAAATCACTGGAACTGTTCTAGAAAATAAAGTATATACAACATTTAGAGGCTTTAGACCATATGCTCTGTTTTTCTGCCTTTTTCTGTTTTCCTTCCTGCCTGTATATATAAAGATTCTTTTCCCCTAAATATCAAAAATCCAACTTTTGCTTCAGTTTGTCAGTGAAGAAGGTGTACTTAAAATAGTGAATGCTAATTTATGCATAGCTAGTAGATCAATAGAAAAGTAAAGTGTCACACCTTTTATGTTAAAAGCAGTGTATGATGTGGTGGTGTCCTTTTACAAGGGCATGTAGTGACAGGATGAGGAGAAATGGCTTTAAGCTGAAGGAGGAGAGATTTAGATTAGATATTCAGAAGAAGTTCTTCCCTGTGAGGGTGGTGAGGCCCTGGCACAGGTTGCCCAGAGAAGCTGTGGCTGCCCCATCCCTGGCAGTGTTCAAGGCCAAGCTGGACGGGGCTTGGAGGAACCTGTGTGGTGGATGGTGTCCCTGCCCATAGCAGGGGGTTGGAACTGTATGATCTTTAAGGTCCTTTCCAACCCAAATCATTCTGTGATTTTATGATTCTGTGTAATCTTGGCCTCCATTTCCCTCCCTACAATCCTGTCTTATGTCTGCTGTGCATTCTGGAATGCATTGTCTGTGGTCCTTTTCACATTTCAAAGCCTACCTATGACTCTGGATGCAGTGAGAACCATACTGTATTTTAGATTACCTTTCAGGTCTTCTTCTCTGGGTCAGTGCTGATTTTTAACTTGTTTGAAATGTCCATTCTAATGTAGTGCAGCTTGAATGGAGATTAAATGAAGAACTCATTTTGCTTTCCAGTTATTAGCTGCATATATGCCTTTTTATTTTTTTCTGTAGTAGTAGTAACCGTTCTAGTAATGTGCTCAGCTGTCTTGAAATTTTCACCTACTAAAGAAGCATTACACTTGTACATGCACTGATGGGATTTGGTTTACTGGTCTTGTTTTGTGCTATTATTTTTCAGGCAATTTAGCTTGCCTGGTCAATTAAATTCGTTGAAATTTGAATGTTATTTCATGCCAGTTCCTTGTGAGCTTCCAGGAAGTTTCTGGGTAGAGTTCAGTAATACCATGTTGATCTTCCATATTAGTTTTAAGTCTTAAAAAATTTGCATCCACACCCATTTTAGGCAGATGAGGTCTAATGAGTCTAGCTAGTGTAGCAGCTTAGGAGGTTACTGCCCCTCAAATGTCCGTTGTTCTTCTATGCTAAAGACTGCTTCCACACCAATATAACCAGTAAGAGCATATCTATTAGGATACATGTATTTACACCATAGTGTAATGTCTACATACCTTCTTCTGCAGTCCAAAATGAGTCACCATACTAAAGCAGTTCAGGCAAGGGCAGATACTCTCTTCTGATTGTACCCACTACCAGGCAGTGACAAAAAACCTGGAAATAATAATATCTTGGATGACTACAGCAGTTAACTGAGAAAGCCTCTGTTTAGTTTTCTTCTTTTCTTACCCTCTCTTCATTTAATGTTTGTAACGTCATAGCAAGCAGTGCCATTAAGCAGAACCAAAACCACTTATTATAGCTAGTGGTGTCTGGTGCATGTAATTTGTCCCACCCTCCCCTGTTTCTGGTAGGATCCAGAGCTGCTAATTGCCTTAGCAAACTGAAAAGAAAATTAGTAGGTCACATAAGTAAGACCAGCAGGTAACTTCTGAGAACTTATGGATCTACAGATTCTTTGCTATCTTCATGTGCTGGAGGTTACCAAAGTTGGCTCAAGTTTGCTTTAGATGGTGCCTTCTTTGAAGGTGTTTCTTAAGATTTGTCTTGTTTAATTTTTATTTTAGTGGTAATATGCCCAGCTTGATGTTACCAGATGAAAGTGAGTCAGGAAGGCTTGAGTAAAATACACAGAGACTACTGTACTTCAAAAATTACTTATGGAGCTGTTATTTATCTGGTCAGGTAACCATGTAATATTTCTAGTAATTTGTCATTCTGTGCATTATTACAACACAATAACTTGTCCTTTCTGAAGCTGTGTCAATGTGGTGTTGTGCACTGGCATAATAAAGTTGTCTTATGTTGCTACTTAGATATAAAAGCAAAAGCAAGGCATTCCATCAAGAGGCTTCAGTCAATTGTTGGTATGGTTGAAATGGCTTTTACTAGTATGTTGAAGGTGATGAGGCAATTCTTTTGAAATGTTAGTGAGGGAAAGAGATTTTTAGAAGACGTAATTTACAGGTCTGTAGCAGATAGCTGCCTGCATAAAGGAGCTGCTAATGATAATAAAATTCCAAACACTTATGATTAAAAGAGAATCTATTGTTCTCAGCTTGTTTGCTTTAGATTTAGTCTGATGAGGCTGTGTGGGAGGCAAACATCCTGTCACTCCTGTGTGATTTTTTTTTCTCTTTATTTTCATTCAAACCTTAGTACAAGTACCTAAGTCATCTTGGAAGTGGGGGCATTGGTTCACTGAATAGTCAGGCAAATCTTCAAAGCTGAAACTGGAAGTAAAATGACAGAAAGGAGATACTATGTGCATGAGTCTTCCAGGTGATCGTGATATGATGCTGCTAGCAGCTCCATCTATCATGACTTTTTGCTTACGCTTCTTCAATGTGGGACAAGATACTGTTCCTCCTCTTGGTTGGTCAATTGCTAAATATCAAACAAATCCTAACAATGCCACCCCACATAGGGGTCCTTGGGAAGGACAGTGATGTTGTAGAAGTGACCAGTAGGTCTACCTCATCTCTCTTGCTACTTTTCTGTGGGTGCGAAGAAGGAGGCTGCACAACAGGGCCAATTGGCATGGCATGGCCTGGTCTGTAGGTAAAATGGTTCTTGGGGAACAGTGACATCATTGAACATTTTATTGTTGCAGGATTTTATAAACAAGTACATGCTAAATGCTAGAATGTTGGAGAATCTGGAATAGCAGGAACAAAATAGCTCTTGCTGTATTAGTTAAATCTAGTTCATTCCAGTTGTTTTGGGTATGGTCAAATGGATTAACCCAGTGTAATTCATTTAAATCTCACTAATACTTTTTTTTAAAATGTAGAATATCAGTGCATTATGGGATGTTAGTACAGGAGCATCATTTTCTGTCCACATAGACAAACCTCAAATTAACATTCGTACTCCCCAAGTAATGATGTAATTGTGATTTTGACGTCTGTCACGTTTCAGAATTTTGTGGAGCATTCTGATTAAAAACACCTCATAATGCTGCTGCTTTTCCTTTCACCAGAGGCCAGCAGAAACTGTAGATGAAGAAGAAAATGCAGAAGAGGAAAATGACTGTGGAGAGGAGGTATATAAAGGAGAAGAAGAGTATCCAGAAGTGAATGGAGATGAAAGTGAGAAAACTGCTAAAGAAAGAAGTGAAGTGGAAGAAAACAAGAAATTAAATGAGAATTACAAAGATGAAGCAGAAGATACAGAAGAGGATTCTGGTAGTCAGAACCAGGTGAGTGTTCATACTTTCAGTTTGTTTTTCTTAAGTTATTGATGTTCATTCATCTCAGCCTTAGGCTTCTCAGCTAGTCTCTAAATAGCTCACTCCTGATAAGTTGATGCATTTACAAGAACTTCAGTTTGAGGAAAAGCTGTTTTCCATCTGCATAGATCAGTTACATCAGTAATTACATTATATGCTCTCCAACTGAGAAAGCAGATGTTCTTGCTCTTTGATGAATCTGCATCTCTTGCTTTCCTGAGAATGCTGAATTAAAAAAAAAAAAAAAAAGAAAGAAAAAATTCTTGCAATTTCCAGAAAATGCATGGTCATTTATATATTTCCACCTTACATTGTCCTTTAGAACAGAACAGTGTTCATGAAACCACCATGCCTCATTGTTTTGATGAATTGACATTCACAGAAGTTTCATTTCATAAGGGCTCTTGCCATTGCTTTGTGGAATTTTCATCTCCTTTTCTTAGAAATATGAAAAGACAGTGGAGATGAACACAATCCTCAAAGCAGGGGGCTTTTGTTGGTTCAAAAGCAAATATCCTTTTAATTTAGGAGCTATGGTAACATGCTGTTGGTTTAGGTGGAGGCATACAGCCCTGAAAAATAAAGTGGACTGCCCTGGCTGTCATATGAACTGACCAGCAAACAGAATGTAGGAATGAAGTATTTTGTTTGATGGGGAGAATCCAGATCTGGAAAAGTGGGATCCTTGAGCATCAGAAGCAGAACAACTTGCTGCATATTTCATGCCTATAGGCTGCTGAAACCAGACTCTTCCTCTCTTTGTGACACTAGGACTGGCTTCTTGTACCTTGCAACTAGGTTTTCTTCTGTTTCTGTATGACATACAAGAACATCTTTCAATTAAGAGAGCTACATAGCGTGATGCTTTCTTGGGCTCTGAATTTATTCAGTGCTCAATATATTGATCTTTTGTTTGTTTTTAGAAAAGCTGAAGTTATTTATGGGAGTGGAGAAAGTGAGCATTTAAGTGGGTATGTGGGTAACTGATGTTTAATGAAAGAACTTGGGGGGAACCTCTAATCTGAGTAAGTTATCCTTTGGAAGGTATACATGTGTAAGGTAAATAAAAATGTTAATGTGATCATTATCAGAAAACATTTTTTTCACATTGATACTTTGTGGAAACTTTAGTATGAGGTGCTAGCACTAGATTGAAATGAAGTGAAATCTTTGTTACCTCGTGAAGTTAACAGTACCTTTCCTTTTTCTCTAGGTTGATTTCCATCTTGAAAAAACATCCACAGCTCCAAGGGTGACAATCACCAGCCCGCAGGAAAGTGAAAAAGACAGACCAGAGCAATGACTACAGTTGCATAGATAGAAAAAATGTAATGAGCAAAATGGAAAGATTATAATACTTTAAATATAAAGCATGTTATTTTTTGGAATTGATAACTTGTAATGGAAAGATAGTTCCCACATACTGAGTCTTGAAATAGTAATGCCATATGGACTGATTTAGAAAACAAACATTAATAGCTACTGGAAGAACATAGAACTATTTTTACAGGGTGAGATTTTCCAAATGGAGGGGGGAAATACAAGCGTACTGTATAGTAGTGTTAGAAATAAATTAACTAATCTATGGTATAAGATGGCTAGCAGTAATAGAATAGCTGCAAAAATGACACAGTTCCAGAAAAAGGAAAAGTCCATCACCCTAATTCAATATCAAAACTTTTTTGCACATTTGTTCGGAAAAGAGACACATTTTTTACTTTTAATGAGGACATGCGTAGTTTCTCCTTTAGAATTCCACAAATACATGTTTTCCAATAACAAATAATGTTATTCCAGGCATAACATTAAGATATAATTAGAATACGTTCCTCAGTTAGTGGATTTATGCCCCTAAAAGCTGGTGTACTATAATGAGGTGTCAGTCCTAATGTTACTAAATAGTGGATTTTTAATATATTAATTAGAATTGTTAGTTTTTACATTCTAAAATAAATAGCTCATATTTAGCACTATCAATGAATGTAGACAGCCCACAATACTGCCGCTTGTTCTCATTTACAACATGAATGTTGATTGTCCTGCACCAGTTTACTAAACAGTGACTTGTTACCATAGTGGGAAAAAAAAAAGTAGAAGAAAAGTATTTAGCAGATTAGTTTAAAGTTGAGTTTCGGTAGATTTGTAATCCAGTACTGTGTGAAACTTAATTTATTAGTGGGAAAAAAAAAAGTAGGAGAATAGGCCTGAATTCAGACTGAAATTACCATGAAACCATTCCTATCAATGGAGCCATTTAAATATGAAATACATTAGGATGAGCCCTCCAGTTTTCTGTAAAAATCGGCAACAATTGCTGCATTTATGAATCCTTTATGTAGCCTTAATGGTTGAAAGTGTGTCATCATCTTTTGGAGTAAGCTGGCTCCTTATCGGCTGTGGCTTAATTTGCATTAGTAAATAAGGCATTGACCCACAGTATTAGTTCTCTTAATGACACCAATTCTGTTACTCTTATTGTTTCTCTATTAGCAATGAGGATAATTTGTATTTTATAGAAACGCAGCCCTGAGCATAATTTCATTAATTATACAAAAGAAATAATGAGTTTCCATATCATTAATGCTGATAAATTATTACTATCAGAAGCTAAATGTCATTTTTGTTGATTTCATGCCATTAAGACAAAAATTACGTTTATGAACAAATTGAACTTGAAGCACTTTGAGGAATGTGAAGAACCATTCTTCATAACTGAAATTCATCCATACATCTTCTCTTTTTCAGCAGAAAAAGTTGAATATATTTCCAATAACTATTGAATATATTTTTCCAATGGAATAGAAACACATAGAGGTCCTTCAGCATGTTTCTAAGTATTGGCAATATAAGTATAAAAAATATAATGTCAAAACCAATAGGAACAGGGTAAGAAAAGTCTGTCGTATGGCATCTCTGAACTGCCTATGATTCGTGTCTCCTTTGTTGAACTGTCTGAGAAAGATCTGAGGGAATATTGCGTTTGTGATCAGTTCAAAATAAGCTCCTAGTTTAGCCAAAATCTTAAGCATGTGTGCATGCTTCATTTGATACAGCAGTTAAGCCTATGCTCAAATATCTTGATTTCACTGGGGTTTAAGAAGACATTTAAAGTTATGCAGAAGTAAAAACCAACCAACACCTCAGAAAAAAAACAGAAACATTATGAATAAAATAATTGTATGTTCTAGTAAGGGAAAAATGAAAGAAATCCCTAGGTACCTTTATAGTTAATCCCGTACTGGAATAATAATATGCAGTAGCATTAAAACTCTCAAACAATACTTAACCAGTCAGAGAAGGCAGCTCTGTCTCCTCAGGGAGCTTAGGAGAATTTACCTGCTGACACTTCTGTGCAAAGCTGACCTAGGAGACTGACTAATGCTGCATCTCTGCTCACTTTAAGCTGAATAGCTCATATGCTTATTAGCTATTCATGAGTAAGCATGGTCTTAAATGTGTTGCTGAATCAAGACAAACAACAGTAATCTTGTACTGACATTACTCTGAATGGGCTTTTCACTAGCAGTTAATGGTGTACCAAATACAGGACTCTTCTTGTTGTCATTTTATTGCAGATTAAGACATCAGCAACCTCTGAGATGTTCTTCATCCTCAGAAATTTTAAGTTAATTCAACACCCAAAAATATCTGATGGAGATAATTAATTTGGAGAACATTTGCCTCAAAATGTTGTACCTAGAAACAATATTTTGAAGAAACTGATGGATTTGCATGATGATTCTCTTCTCCTTTTGGTTTCTATTTATTCTGTCTGCCAACAGTTTCTGTCATTTCTTCCCTTTTCCCCAAGTGTTCAGTATCTTCTGTGCTTAAAAGTCTTAAAGATATCAATAAGAGTAATTTAAAAGCTGAAACTAAATTCTAGGGAAGTATAATGGGATCGATTTCTTTCATGGGAACATGAAATCCCTATGAGTGTTATTCAGCTTTTTAAATGTTCTCCCCTCTGTTTTGTTGTAAGAAAGAAAGTATATATTTCTTTGGAACAGCTAATCAGACTTCTTGGAAATAGAGATATAACCATTTTATTGTTCACCTTTACAACACTGACAACATGAATCTTGTATCAGGTTCTTTTGTATAGAAAAAACAGTTTAACCGTAAAAAACAATGCTTATGTTAAAAAAGAAATTAAGCAAGAAGTCTTGGAAGGCAGACGCAGGGACTGTGAGAATAAAGACCTTAGGCCCACTGTAGGAGAGGATCAGGTTTGAGATCATCTTAAGAACCTGAATGTGCACAAGTCCATGGGGCCTGATGAAATCCATCTGCGGGTCCTGAAGGAGCTGGCAAATGAAGTTGTGAAGCCACTGGACATCATGTTTGAGAAATCATGGCAGTCAGGTGAAGTTCCCAATGACTGGAAAAAGGGAAATATAACCCCCATTTTCAAGAAGGGGAAAATGGATGACCTGGGGAATTACAGACCAGTCAGTCTCACCTCTGTGCCTGGCAAAATCTTGGAGCAGATTCTCCTGGAAGGCACTCTGAGGCACATGAAAATCAACAAGGTGCTTGGTGACAGCCAGCATGGCTTCACTAAGGGGAAATCCTGCCTGACCAATTTGGTGGCCTTCTATGATGGGACTACAGAACTAATGGACACGGGTAGAGCTGTTGACGTCATCTACCTGGATTTGTGCAAAGCGTTCGACACTGTCCTGCATGACATCCTTGTCTCTAAATTGGAGAGATATCAATTTGATAGGTGGACCACTTGGTCCAGAACTGGCTGGATGGCCGCACACAAAGAGTTGTGGTCAATGGCTCAATGTCCGGCTGGAGACCAGTAATGAGTGGTGTCCCTCAGGGATCGGTGTTGGGACCGGTCTTGTTTAACATCTTTGCTGGTGACATGGACAGGGGGATTGAGTGCGCCCTCAGCAAGTTTGCCGATGACACCAAGCTGTGTGGTTTGGTTGATACCCTGGAGGGAAGGAATGCCATCCAGAGGGACCCTGACACGCTTGTGAGGTGGGCTGATGCCAACCTCATGAAGTTTAACCATGACAAGTGCAAGGTCCTGCACCTGGGTCGGAGCAATCCCAGGCACAGCTACAGGTTGGGCAGAGAAGAGATTCAGAGCACCCCTGTGGAGAAGGACTTGGGGGTGTTGGTTGATGAGAAAATGAACATGAGCCAGCTGCAGTGTGTGCTTGCAGCCCAGAAATCCAACCGTATCCTGAGCTGCATCAAAAGGAGCGTGACCAGCAGGTTGAAGGAGGTGATCCTGCCCCTCTACTCTGCTCTCGTGAGGCCCCACTTGGAGTATTGTGTGCAGTTCTGGTGTCCTCAACATAAAAAGGACATGGAACTGTTGGAACAAGTCCAGAGGAGGGCCACGAGGATGATCAGGGGACTGGAGCACCTCCCGTATGAAGACAGGCTGAGAAAGTTGGGGCTGTTCAGCCTGGAGAAGAGAAGGCTGCGTGGAGACCTCATAGCAGCCTTCCAGTATCTGAAGGGGGCCTGTAAGGATGCTGGGGAGGGACTCTTCATTAGGGACTGTAGTGATAGGACAAGGGGTAATGGGTTAAAACTTAAACAGGGGAAGTTTAGATTGGATATAAGGAGGAAATTCTTTCTTGTTAGGGTGGTGAGGCACTGGAATGGGTTGCCCAAGGAGGCTGTGAATGCTCCATCCCTGGTCAGGTTGGACAGAGTCTTGGGTGACATTGTTTAGTGTGCGGCATCCCTGCCCATGGCAGGGGGTTTGGAACTTGATGATCATAAGGTCCTTTCCAGCCAAAACCATTCTATGATTCTAAGATAGTCTTGCTAATATTTCTTGTGTTTTCATTTGGTGTGTGTGATGCCTTAACTCGGTTTTACATGAGAACTGCATTATTTTGTTAAGCTTATATAATGTTATTTTATTAAGCTTATATGCAACATTTCTGAGGGGTTTTTTAAGACTTGTTTTCTTGTTTTGGTTTTATTTTTCAAAAGAATTTGCTATTAAAGAGAACTATCGTACTGATATTCTTGTGTTTTGTCTCATATCAAGACCTGTTATGCTAAGTCTATCTTTGGGTGACTGGCTTTATAAACCTAGTGATTTTGCAGCTGATAGGATTCTCTCATAACTAGAACTTTCAAAAAAAAGTCAGATATTTTAGTTTTCATGTTGCAGCTGTGAAAGGAAATATGCTGATAATTTAGCTATTACATAACTATAAATCTAAGTTACAAATCTGAGAATAACAGCTCAGTTAAATTGGCCACTGGTTTTTAAAAAGACATAGTTCAGGTTAGGACTGGATT